CATCTATCTTCACTCCCATTCCTTCCCATTCCAGTCGTGCCAAATAGTAGGAGGTGACATCTCTGTCAATCAGGAGACTCAAGGGACAGCCCTGATGATTCCATACACCTGACTTCTAACAAGATCTCCAAGAAAAGCTCGTACTTGCAGGAAATTTCCATCCTGCCCAGACCAGCCTCCCATAGGGAAGTGGTGTCTCAGAGGTCGAGTCAGAAATGAAGCAGGGATTAATGAGCAGACTCCGGGAGGCTGTAAATATCTCCTGCTCTGCTCAGCTCTTCAGTTGGGTCAGCCTGGGCTGCTCAGGACAGGATTGCATCTGTGGAATTGTGAGTGTGTTGGGAGAAGCCAGGTTTGCATCCTTCCTGCTGGTCCAGCCGGCTACCACCTTCATCCTTAAGCACCTAGGGAACAATTTGGGTTTCCACTCGGGTTTTTCCTGCTGTCCCACTCAGGTGAGTGAACACTGCAGTGATGCAATAAATGCGAGTGGTGTAAATGATGCAGGGAAGTGTGTGAGAGAATAAAAGGTGAGACCACTGCCTGCCTTGGAAGGATGCCAGGATGTTCATGGCCTTTGTTGTTGCTTTGGATGATGACTTGACTAATCTACATGAATGTATTACTTAGGATGACCCCAAGGTAAGCTATTAGTAACTCTTCAGAAAGTGAAAGAAGAGTGACCGAGGGAAATGCAGAAGATGGTATAGAGATTTACAATGACCCGGGATGGAGGAGATGACCCAAAGGAGTGGAGCACATGCTTTGCATGTGGAGACCCAGGTTCAACCTCCCACAACACACGGTCCTCTCAGCAGGCTGGAAGTGCTCCTGAGCACTGAGCTAGGAGTGCCTTCTAGCACGTGTTGTGTGACCCCACAACTGAAAGATAAACTGAAATATCATAGCCTCGGGATTTCTTCTCTTTTCCTTTTACACTTAAATTTGTAGGATTTATCTCTTTGATATGCCAGACACAGTACCAACAAAGTCTCCAATGGAGACGTTACTGGGCCCGCTCGAGCAAATCGATGATCAACGGGAGGGCCTTTATCTCTTCCCTTGGGCCGGAGCAATAGCATAGCGGGTAGGATGTTTGCCTTGAACGCGGCTGATCCAGCTTCGGTTCCTCTGCCCCCTCGGAGAACCCAGCAAACTTCCGAGAGTATTCCGCCCTCACGACAAAGCCTGGGAAGCTACCTGTGATGTATTTGATATGCCAAAAACAGTTTCAGCAAGTCTTAAAATGTAGACTTTACTGGTGCCTGCTAGAGAAAATCGATGAACAACAGGAGGACAGAGCTACAGTGCAGTACTATCTCTTCCATATAAAACTGAAAATGTATTAGCACTGAATTACCTAGAAAGGGGATTTGGGAGGGACCCTGGGGACACTGGTGGAGAAAAGTGTCTTTCTGGGGATAAGGGTGGCGCTGGAAGGATGGAGGCATGAAAACCAGGATTAAAAATATTGTAAATCCAGGTACCATAATAAAAAATGAAAAAATTATTTAAACAATCCTGTGAAGAAAAGTGGGTTGAGGGTTTCTTGGTACGATGTGTTTGGTGACCGAGAACCACCACCCAACCTCCCTGGTGGAGGCCAGGGACCACAGACTGACTGTGGACAGTGGACGCTTTATTCAGAACTGAATAGCATCCTTATGAGGGGGTTCAAGGTATAGGACTGCATGTAGGTGTGATTGACCACTTGCAGAGATAAAGCATTTCAAAGGAGGCGATTCTTTGGGAGGGATTAACTCAAGGAGACGTTCTGCGTGAGACTACACTGAGAATTTTGCTCAGGGATAACAGGCATCTATAATGCTTTTATCTTTCCCTTGCTGCTCGTACATATTGAATAATTAAGTTTACTTCTTATTAATATTTGCAGTTCTTTGGATAAATACAGTAAGAAAGATAGATTCCAAGAGCTTGGTTCTCTGAGCTCTGGGTGCTGAAGTTAAAAGCCAGCTGGTCCTTTATCATAAATCTCAATCTAAGACTTCGGCAGGTTTAGCTTTTTCTACCCCTTGGAGATCCTGTCTTTTAGGTCATTACGGCTTATATCAAGACCGTGCTTTATGATTTCTAGACTGTCCCATGGGCTGGAGCGATAGCACAGCGGTAGGATGTTTGCCTTGTGTGCAGCCAGTCCGGCCGAGCCAGGTTCTATTCCTCCTTCCCTCTTGGAGAGCCCGGCTAGCTACTGAGAGTATCTTGCCTGCATGGCAAAGCCAGAGAAGCTACCCGTGACAAATTCAATATGCCAAACATAGTACCAACAAGTCTCAAAATGGAGACGTTACCGGGCCTGCTCGAGCAAATCGATGAACAACGGGAGGACAGTGCTACTGTGACAGACTGTCCCATATCAAAGCCAGGGTAGTTTTGCTGTTTGCTCTGGGACCTTCCAGAGGTCCCTTAGTGGGCCAGCTTTTGGGGATGTTAAAAACTGAAGCCTGAGTTAAGAAATTATGGCAGGGGGGCTGGAGCAATAGCACAGCGGGTAGGGCATTTGCCTTGCACGCGGCCAACCCAGGTTCAATTCCCAGCATCCCATATGGTCCCCGGAGCACCACCAGAAGTAATTTCTGAGCGCAGAGCCAGAAGTAACCCCATGTGCACTGCCGGGTGTGACCCTCCCCCCCAAAAAAAGAAATTATGGCAGATGCCCAGCAGTAAATATGTTTCAGAGTCAATTAACTCCCCAATATTAGGAACACAGCATTAACAGTCTTTCTGTGTTTAAGCAAAGAACATTGCTCTATAGTAAAATATGAAAAGGTTTTAGGGGAAAGAGAAAAGCAAGTAATTTGCTACGGATACAAAGACCAGAGTCACCAGAAGGTTGGACTTTATGAGTATCAAGCCTCACTCGGGGAATCCAGTAGTTAACAGAATGAGAGGTAAAGAACAAACTCCCACAAGAGCACAGAAAGCTTCTATGGAGAGGGTGGGGGGGGACAGACAATTCACTGACAAAGTCTAAAATACTTGAGGTTAATAGCCAAAAAAACCCTTCATTTAAACACTGTAATTTCTAAAGTTGTTCATAATACAGTTGATTTAAGGAATTCAGTGTTCCAACAGCGATCCCATCACCAGTATGACTGTCCTTCCACCAATGTCCCCATTTTTTTCCCACCCCCCATCCCTCCAACCCTATCCTCTCAGCAGGCACAAAATAGTTCACAAAATATTTCATTTCACAGTGAAAATGTGTGGTTGTTATAACTCATATGACAGCAAAACTTAACTCTCACGTGAATAATTCCCTTTGGAGTGAAGGTTGTTGTTGCAGTGATGGGTGGGCTAGTCCATGCATACAAGCTCTCTGAGGTTGAAGACACGTGCTATCTAATAAATAGTTTTTATTTATTTATTTATATTAGTGAAACACATTGAGGTACAGTTGTAGACTAACAAATTTTGTTCTTGGGCTTCAATTATACAATGATCGAGTACCCATCCCTTCACCACTGCCCATCCTCCACCACCACTGATCCCAGTACCCCTCCCATCCCTCATCCCCACATCCCACCCTGACTCTGTGGCAGGGCATTCCCCCTTGTTCTCTCTCTACTAATAAATAGTTTTTAAAGCAATATCATTATTCACTTGCTCTTTTGGTTTTTATTTTTTGGGGAAGCCATACTCAGGGCTTACTCCTGGCTATGCACTCAGGAATCACTACCTCCGTGCTCTGACGATCTTATGGGAAGTTAGAGTTTGAGGCAAATGCCCCACCCTTTGTGCTATCTCTCCAGTACCTCACCTACATTCTTGCTCCTAATGAACTACTCTTCATTCATACTTTTTCATTGTTTTCACATCATTGTTAATTCTGAGAGCTTGTTTGGAGGTTCTAGCGGGGAGTGCAGCTACTCGTATACCCTTGACTGAAGACGGTCCTTCTCTATTCCTCTGCCCCTCTCAAAGAGCCTGGCAAACTACTGAGATTATATCACCCACACGGGAAAGCCTGGCAAGCTACCAATGGCATATTTGATATGCCAAACACAGTAACAAGTCTCACAATGTTACTGGGCCCGCTTGAGCAAATTGATGAACAATGGGAAGACAGTGACAGTGACAGTGTGAATTCTGAATATTTATTTATTGGTTTTGGTTTTTTTTTATAATAAAATTTATTATCAAGTGATTATAAGTTTTTTTTCTTTATACCAACTTAGTAAATGCTAGGTCACAATTTCCATAAGTGTATTTTCTTGTGCATTGTCATCTATAATCACTTTCATCCTGCTGTTGTCTCTGAGCATTTCCCCTGGGTGTTCTGCATTCACACACACTTTCCTGCAGAGAGCATCCAGGTGCTCCCATCCCTTCTGATCTCTGCTGCAATTCTACCCATTTGCCGATCTCATATGAATATCCTAGTGATAAGTAACATTCCGGGCCAGGAGATAGTGCATCAGGTAAGGTGCTTGGCTTGGATGTGGCCAACCTGGGTTTGATGCAAAGAAGCCCAAGAACACCAGGCATATTTCCTGAGCACAGGAACATGGAATAATCCTGAGCATTGGGGGCATGGTCCAAAAACAAAAAAAAAATACACTGTAAGTGTTCTGCTTTAAACCTTCTCCTTTTTCATCACATCCCTTTCCTCCTAGATTTTTTTGGTGGGCTATATGCTACCACATACAACATCTCTAATATTATTTAGTGTTCCTCATATTCCAGAGAAATTGTAATTCATAATGCCATAACTAATGAAAGGCTGAAATAGCAGGGCAAAAACCTATGCATAGATATATAAGGAAATGGTGAAAAAGAATCTCAGAGAGACAAGGTATATTCATGAGGGGATGAAGTTATTTCCTTGAGTTTGAATAGAAAGAGAAGCTTACATGTTTTATATGCTTGTAATACTAATAATATTTGTATTCTAACATTACCTAAATAAAAATTAAAATTGTGTAAGTGATATGTTTATGTGGGAAATAATCATGTTCTTTCCCTATAGGCCCAACTGGTCCATGGAGTCTGAGAACGTGACAGGAAACAGAGATTTTCTTCTTCTAGGATTTTCTGAGGAAACGGAGGTTCAATCTATCATCTTTGTGCTTTTCCTGTCCATGTACCTGATCACCGTGCTGGGGAACCTGCTCATCATCCTGGCTGTCCACTCAGACTCCCACCTACACACACCCATGTACTTCTTCCTGTCCAATCTGTCCTTTGTGGACATCTGTTTCACCTCCACCACAATCCCCAAGATGCTGGTGAACATCCAGACACACAGCAAAGCCATCAGCTATGCGGGCTGCCTAACCCAGATGTATTTCTTCCTAATCTTTGCAGCATTGGACAACTTTCTCCTGGCCGTGATGGCCATTGACCGTTATGTGGCCATCTGCCAACCCCTGCGTTACATGGTCATCATGAACCCCCGGCTCTGTGGGCAACTGCTTCTGATGTGCTGGACCTTGAGTATCCTCGATTCCTTGTTAGAAATCCTCATGGTGTTGCCACTGTCCTTCTGTGAACATGTGGAAATCCCTCACTTTTTCTGTGAACTCAACCAAGTAGTCCACCTAGCTTGTTCGGACACTTTTTTCAGTGACTTGATGATGTATTTGTCAGCTGTGCTCCTGGCAGGTGGCGCCTTCACTGGGATCCTATACTCCTACTGTAAGATCGTGTCCTCCATCCGTAAAATCTCCTCAGCTCAAGGGAAGTTTAAAGCCTTTTCCACCTGCGCATCTCATCTCTTTGTAGTCTCCTTGTTTTATGGCACAGCCCTAGGTGTGTACCTGAGCACTGCTGTGACAGAGAACTCACAGAGCACTGCAGTCGCCTCCGTGGCTTACACCGTGGCCACCCCCATGCTGAACCCCTTCATCTACAGCCTCAGGAACAAAGACATCAAGGGTGCTCTGTCACGCCTCTTTAGGAAGAAACAGTGAAATGGCACTTGTCCACGTTCTGGTGAACTGCATCATTTCAGGGCTCCATTCCTGAGAATAAGAAATTGTGATCTGTTATTTCGAGTGTAGGCATGGGACCTAAAGGACAAGGATTCAACTTTAAAATGTGACAATAAAAAGATGAGGTGTAGAGGTTGGGAGGGGACCTGGGGCATTAGTGTGGGACCCTGATAAGGGTTGGTCTTGGAGGTGGAACATTGTGTACTTGAATGTCTATTGTTGATGGCTTTGCAAAGTCTATTGCTGGTGCCTAAATTTCAAAATAATTCTTTTAAATTATAAGGCAGAGAGAGACTGAGTTTTCTTTCTTTCTTCTTATATCTGGGCATGTAAGAAAAATTCTTTACTTAAAAAATCAGCGTGGACTGTAAACAGGCTAATTTTATTATTTCTGAATTTCTTTTTTTTCATAAAATTTTATCTTCTCTTTATAGCTGTATAAATATTTTATCCACTTTCTGCCTTCTTTGCAATAGAGATCTATTTTTCCTAATGTATTCTTGGCTCTCAAATATAGTCCATCACTTGATCACTTCTTGTTACTCATCGATTTGCTTGACAAGGCACCTGTGATGTCTCCATTCATCCCTGTCATGTGTCAGCGTAGCCCAATGGAGTCTGTTCATTCTAGGAACATGAGGAGCCTCAAACTAATCATTCAGGGTCTTGATGAAGAAGTCTGACCATCTTGTAGGTGGGCTGCCACATGGTCTTTTGATGTCTTTTGATGGAATCCAGTCAATAATGGCTATAGTCCAGCAGTTGTCTCCAAATCTCATTACGTGTCCAGTCCATCTGATTTTTGATGCCTTGGCAAATAAGACAACATCTCTTATTCTTGATGGTCGATGGAGGTTGGAACTCCAGATTCTTTCTCTCATTTGAGTGAAACGTGATACTCCAAGCATAGCTCTTTCGATTCCTCTTTGGGAGACCCGAATAGCTTTCTCATCCTGTTTGCGTAGGGCCCAGGTCTCTGAGGCATGTGTTAATGCAGGAAGAACAGTGGAATCTAAGAGATGTGCCCAGAGCCGGAGGTACTTCGTTCTCTTAGCTATTTCTTTGACACTATCGAAGGCATTCCAAGCCGCTTTCTTCCTCCTGCACAACTCAGGTGCCAGGTCATTCGTCATGTTGACTTCTTGACCTAGGTACACATAACTGTTGCATTCGGAGATGGTCATTCCATTGAGAGTGAATGGAACTTTAGGAACGAGACTGTTTCTCATAAACATTGTCTTCGTGAGATTCAGCTGTAGTCCGACCTTTCCACACTCATGGTCGAAGTTGGCCAGCATTTGTGCCGCTTGGTTAATGTTTGATGTTATTAAAACAATGTCATCAGCAAAGTGGTGATGGTGTAGTTGCTGACCATCTATCTTCACATCCATTTCTTCCCATTTCAGTTATCTCATGATGTTCTTGAGGGTGGCAATGAAGAGTCAATATAGTCCATATCTTTAAAAAAATGAAATATTAGAAATTACCATTGAATTTGAAAACATGGAGTTCTGGGGTCAGGAATGGGCCATCCCTGGCCGTACTCAAGTTTTCTCCTGGCTTTGCACTAAGGGACCACTCCTGGCAGACTTAGGTGATCATATAGGTGGTGGGATTCAAACCTGGGTATGCCACATGCAAGGCAACCCTACTTCCTGTACTAACTCTCTGGCCCACACATGGATTTGTTCAGAACACTTTGTTCTTTTTTATTTTAATTTATATTATTTTATTGAATCACCATGAGTTACACTCATAAAGCTTTCATATTTGAGTTTCAGTCATATGATGATCGAACACCCATCCCTCCACCAGTGCATAATTTCCACCACCAATGTTCCCAGTATCCCTTCTCTCTCTCCCCATTCTCACCCATCCCATGCCTCTATGGCAGACAGTTTATTTCTTGTTCTTTCTCTACTTTTGGGCATTATGGTTGCATTACAGATACTGAGAGCCATCACATTTGGTCCTTTATCTACTTTCAGCACACATTTCCCATCTCGAGCGATTTCTCCAACCATCATTGACTTAGTGATCCCTTTTCTATCCCAGCTGCTTCCCCCCTTGCCCATAAGACAGTTTCCAATTATGGAGCATTTTTCCTGGCCCTTGTCTCTACTGTCCTTGGGTGTTAGTCTCACATTATAAAATTTTGTATTCCACAAATGGGTGTAGTCATTCTATGTTTGTCCATCTCTTTCTAACTCGGGCTGGAGCGATAGCACAGCGGGTAGGGCGTTCGCCTTACAAGTGGCCAACATGGCCGACCCGAGTTCAATTCCTCCGCCCCTCTCGGAGAGCCCGGCAAGCTACCGAGAGTATTTGATATGCCAGACACAGTAACAACAAAGTCTCCAATGGAGACGTTACTGGGCCTGCTCGAGCAAATCGACGATCAACAGGAGGGCCTTTTCTAACTCACTTCACTTAACATGATACTCTCCAGGACCATCCATTTATAAGCAAATTTCCTGACTTCATTTCCTAACATCTACATGGTGTTTCATTGGTAGATATACCAAAGTTTCTTTAAACAGTCATCTATTTATTCTTTTTTTCCCTTTTTTTTAATATTCTTTTCCTTTTTTCTTTTTGGGTCACACCCGGCGTTGCACAGAGGTTACTCCTGGCTCATGCACTCAGGAATTCCTCCTGGCAGTGCTCGGGGGATCATATGGGATGCTGGGAATTGAACCCAGATCACCACATGCAAGGCAAATGCCCTACCCGCTGTGCTATCACTCCAGTCCCCGTATATATATATTTTTTTTTTGGGGGGGGGGAGAGATCACACCCAGTGATGCACAGAGGTTACTCCTAGCTCTGCACTCAGGAATTACTCCTGGCTGTGCTAGAGACCATATGGGATGCTGGGAAATAAACCCAGGTTGGCCATATGCAAGATAAATGCCCTACTCACTGTGCTATTGTTTAAGTCCTGAACACTTTAATCTTTTTAAATTTTTTTTTATTTTTAAATGAAGCACCGTGAGGCACAGTTACAGACTTACAAACTTTCGTGCTGACGTTTCAGTCATACAATGATTGAGTACCCATTCCTCCACCAGTGCCCTTTCTCCACCAACAATGTTCCCAGTATCCTTCCCACCACACCCATCACCCCCTCCCCCACCTCTGTGGCAGGCACATTCCCTTTTACTCTCTCTCTCCTTTAGTCTGTTTTGGTCTTTAATGCAATTATTGAATGGCCATAGTGAATGGTCTATAGACTATAATCTACTCTCGGCACATATCTCCCATCCCAAGCTGGCCCTCCAGACACCCTTGGCTTGGTGGTCCCTTCTTTATCTGAGCTGCCTTTTCCCCCAGCATGTGATTCTGAGCCATGGAACAAACCTCCTGGTTCTTATCTCTACTATTCTTGGGTGTTAGTCTCCCATTCTATACTTTATATTCCTACAAATGAGTGCAACCTTTCTATGTCTGTCTCTCTCTTTCTGACTCATTTCACTTAACATGATACTTTCCATGTTGTTCCACTTATATGCAAATTTTATGACTTAATCTTTTCTAACATCTGCATAGTATTCCATTGTGTATATGTATAAAGGTTTCTTTCTTTCTTTCTTTCTTTCTTTCTTTTTTTTTCTTTAACCAGTCATCTGTTCTCGGGTACTTTTTTTTTCCTTAAGATTCTGGCTATTGTTAACCCTGGAGCAATGAACACAAGTGCAGATATTATTTCTTATTATAATTTCTTGCATCTCCGGGATACATTCCCAGAAGTGGTATTGCTGGGTCAAATGGGACCTCTATTTCTAATTTTTTGAGAAATGTCCATACTGTTTTCCAAAAGGGCTGAACAGTTGGTATTCCCATCAGCAGTGAAGGAGAGTCCCTTTTCCCCCACATCCACACCAACACTGGTTGCTTTTGTTCTTTTGGATGTGGGCCAGTTCTGTGATGTGAGATGATATCTCATTGTTGTTTTGATCTGCATCTCCCTGGTGATTAGTGATGAAGAGCATTTTTTTCATGTGCCTTTTAGCCATTCGGATTTCTTCTCTGGGGAAGTTTATGTTCATTTCATCGCCCCATTTTCTGATGGGATTGAATGTTTTCGTCTTATAGATTTCAACCAGTGCCTTGTATAGCCTTGATATCAACCCCTTATCTGATGGGTATTGGATGAATATCCTTTCCCATTCTGTAGATTTCTTTGTATTCTGGTCACTGTTTCTTTTGAGGTGCAGAAGCTTCTTAGTTTAAGATAGTCCCATTTGTTTATCTCTGTTTCCACTTGCTTGGTCAGTGGAGTGCCATCTTTGAAGATACCTTTACCTTTAGTCAATGTCGTGGAGGGTCGAACACTTTATTCTTAAAACAAAAACATATTCACTTAGTAAATGGGATTAGTGCTAAAAGACTAGTGACCAGGTGTAAGAAAACTAAAGAAAGACATATGTTTCACAAAATGGGCTCTTTTTATTATTTTTTAATAATGGAAATTTTGATATCATATTTACCCATTTTGGGGAAAATTATAAATACACATCCATATCCATGTCATTGAATTCACTCTGCTTCCTGATGTGTAGAAATCCTGTCTCAAATCAAGGATCTAATTTCCTCATTAGGATCCTGGATCTTGTCTGCTCCATGTCTATTGTGTCAACCAGAGTCACTATTTCTGCTCCCAACTAACAACAAGGTCGACAAATAGGATTCTTTTCCTTGTTCCTGGAGAAGTATTTCTGGTTTTCTTGAAGACTAAAAGTTTCTGAGTACACAACATCATGCAAACTCTAAGACCTGTGGCAGCTGCTTGCTACAAGCTTATGCCGGGGGCCAGCCTCCAGTGAATATGTCTGAAGCCGGAACTGAATGAGAGAGAGAGAGAGAGAGAGAGAGAGAGAGAGAGAGAGAGAGAGAGAGAGAGAGAGAGAGAGAAAGCGAGGGGGACAAGGACCTCAAAAACTCATAAACTCATAAACTGAAAGCTTCAACTGACCTTC